AGAGCCTACTGTGTGCCAGGTATTATTCTATGCACTGGTGACAACAATGAACAAAACTCAAGCAATAGTTTCCACAATTACACAGGTTAGAATGAAGGGGGTAAATGGCGATAGCACCTCTGCATGCCACACAGTGACCCAGGCCTTTGCAATGCCTCATGTGTGGTTTACAGGAACACTGCAACAGCATCAGCAATGAATGGGCAGGGCTGAAACCTGTGCAAATAGAACATGGAGATACATGCCAGAGAAAATATTTCTTGTGGTTTCTGTAGGAGTTCTTTTCCAAAGAAAGAAAAATTAAGGCAATGTTCTTTCCCTACTATCTTATGTCATCCCCCATTCACTTTTCCAAATGTGTCTACATTACCATTAAAGGAGAAAGTGTAATTAGCAGAGAAACTGGAAAATCTATTGACTATTTAGAATAGAACACCTCCATTTATCTAACGTCTTTCCCGCTTTTCACACAAGCAAAACCTTGTAATCCATACAAAAATATAAGTGCAATTAAGAAACCAAATAGTCTGGATTGATTTCATGACACATGGTATCTACTTACATCTTTTTAAAAAGAAAAAATTGCTTACTTGCCAAGTTTTTGGTTTATATCATGCTATTTCTAACTTGTACCAAAATAAATTGAGACTCTAGCTTTCCTAGATTCTCAGAAAATGGAACTAATTGCATGAAGTAACATAGTTAGATAGGAAAGTACTACTTAAGTTTGTATGCATCTAATTATGCAATAAAGCAATAATATGACTTGGAAGGCAGTCTTTGGTTACCTAAGATAGATCAAACAGTATAGAGTTGATATGACTTCATTCTTTGAAGCAAAGGACATTTTCATAAAGTATTTTTGTTGTTACAAACCCAGTTTGGACATTATCATACATAAACAGTGAATAGTGTGGACTTTTGAAATAGGCCTGTTATATCATCTAATTTAACAGGAACTGAGTTAGGATGGAAACCAGTATTTATGGCTTTGCAGGTAATTCTCTTCCTTCAGATTCAAGATATTGTTTTCCTTCCCAAAACTAGTGATAAGAAATTCACTAAATGTGATTCTGCCAGAGAAGGTGAAGATGAAGATCAGTAAAAATTCCATGGAACTTGAGAGTTTTTAATTAAACCCTTCATGTTGGCCAGCCCTGTGACTCATAATTATATTCTGCCTGGGCTTTCTGGAATAGTCTTTTACCTCTACATTCTCTTCTTGTCATTAGCAGTTTAGAACTCCAGGGAAAGGTTAGAGTTCAGTGCAAAGGCAGCTTGCATCACTGTGACAGATGATGCTTAATTGGCAGAAGTTATGAAATATTTTTGTAAGTAAAACTATGAACACAGGTTACTTTGGGGAGGAAAATTGGGGGCCAGAGGTAGGAGAGAGACTTTTTACTGTGTGTCCTGCTGTACCACTGGAATTGAGCACCATGTGACTGTACTACCTGCTCAAAAAAAATAAAATTTTTTTAAAATAATAAAATAAAGTCAGTGCTTAGTTGAGTAAAAGTATTCTATTCATACTCTTAACACACTTTGTCTACATCCCTGAATAGCTATGGCTCAATTAGATTCCTCTAGGTATTTCAAGTATTAGTATTGGGGCTTCCCTGGTGGTGCAGTGGTTGAGAATCTGCCTGCTAATGCAGGGGACATGGGTTCGAGCCCTGGTCTGGGAAGATCCCACATGCCGTGGAGCAACTAGGCCCGTGAGCCACAACTACTGAGCCTGCGCATCTGGAGCCTGTGCTCCACAACAAGAGAGGCCACGATAGTGAGGATGCCCATACACTATGATGAAGAGTGGCCCCCGCTTGCCGCAACTAGAGAAAGCCCTTGCACAGAAATGAAGACCCAACACAGCCAAAAATAAATATAAAAATAAATAAATAAATAAAGATTACTATTAATTAAAAAAACCCAAATAAACAAAAAAAGCCAAATATTAGTATTGATCTTATGCCACCATCTCCAAGTAAGCAAGCAACAAAAAAGTCTTGAACATCATTATTAGTTGGAGGATTCCAGGAAATTTTAGAGGTTTATACTGTACAGTAACAAAAACACAGTATGTATATACATATTTAAAGGCATGAGACATTTAAGAAATGACATAGAATTTAGGTCTGCTTAAAAAAGTATTATACTACAATTTTCTGAGTATCAGAGAGAGAAAAGCAGAAGAAATTAGAATTGTTTTTATTTCCTTTTTTGATAACTAGACATTTTTCAAGAACCTAAAAATAATACCTCTAAAATCAGGAACAAGACAAGGATGCCCACGCTTGCCACTCTTATTCAACATTTTGGGAAGTTCCAGCCAGAGCAATTAAGCAAGAAAAAGAAAGGAAAGGCATTCAAATTGGAAAGGAAGATGTAAAGCTGTCACTATTTATGGATGACATGATTTTATATGGAGAAAAGACCCCACCAAAAAACTATTAGAAATAATAAACAAAGTTGCAGGGTACAAAATCAACCTTCAAAAATCTGTTGCATTTCTAGATGGTAACAATGAGGTAGCAGAAAGAGAAATTAAGAAAACAATCCCATTTACAATCACAACACAAAGAATAAAATACCTAGGAATAAATTTAACCAAGGAGGTGAAAGACCTGTACACTGAAAACTATAAGACATTGTTGAATGAAACTGAAGAAGACACAAAGAAATGGAAAGATATGCCATGCTCATTGACTGTAAGAAGCAACATTGTTAAAATGTCCATAATAACAAAAACAATCTACAGATTCAGTGCAATACTTATCAAGATCCCGAGGACATTTTTCACAGAAATAGAATAAAAAAATCCTAAAATTTATATGGAACCACAGAAGACCCTGAATAGCCAAAGCAATTTTGAGAAAAAAGAACAAAGCTGAAGGTATCACATGCTCTGATTTCAAACTATATTACAAAGCCATAGTAATAAAAATGGCATGGTATGGGCAGAACAAGATATATAGATTAATGGAACAGAATTGAGAGCTCCAAAATAAACCCACACATATATGGAAAATTAACTTACAACAAAGGATCAAAGAACATACAATGGAGAAAGGATAGTCTCTTCAATAAATGTTGCTGAGAAAACTGGATAGCCACATTAAAAAAAAGAAAGAAAAAGGAAAGACACTAGATCAATATCTCATACCATACACAAAAATCAACTCAAAATAGATTAAAGACTTAAATGTAAGACCTGAAACCATAAAATGCAATAGAAGAGAAGATAGGCAGTATGCATTTTGACATTGGTCTTAGCAATATCTTTCTAGATATGTCTCCTCAGGCAAGGGAAACAAAAGGAAAACAAATGGTACTACAACAAACTAAAAAGATTCCACAGAGCAAAACAGTACTTCAAAAAGATATATGCACTCCTATGTTCACTGCAGCATCATTTACCATAGCCAAGATATGGAAACAACATAAATGCCCATCAATGAACAAATGGATAAAGAAGATGTGATGTGTATGTGTATGTATATATACACACACAACGTATATATATATATACAACGGAACTACTCAGCCTTAAAAATGATTAAATCTTGCCATTTGCGACAACATGATGAACCTAGAGGAATTTATGCTAAGTGAAATAAGTTAGACAGAAAAAGACAAATACCATATGATTTCATTCATACGTGGAATGTAAAAAACAAGTAAACTAACACAAAAAATTGAACAAACCAAAACATAGATATAGAGAACAGAGTAGTGGTTAGCAGAGGGGAAGGGGTGGTGGGAGGAGGACGAGATGGGTAAAGGGGATCAACTGTATGGAGATGGTTGGAAACTAAATTTCTAGTGGTGAGCATGCTGTAGAGTATAAAGAAGTAGAAATATAATACTGTACACATGAAAGATATGTAATGTAATGTTATAAACCATGTTACCCCAATAAAAAATAAACTTTAAAAATTTATCTAAAAAAGCATAATAAAAAGATTAAAAAATAAATACATGAACAAATGCTTATAAGACATTAAAGACATGTATAAAATATGGCCTTTTTATTTACATAAATGGGATCATACAATGTTTTTTTTTCTGTGACTTATCTTTACTACTTAATAATAAATATTTTAGAAAATTCCTTTAAAAAATAGACTTCCCACTTAGTCAATCAGTAAAATATATGAAAAGAAAAAGAGTTAGCTTTAGCTACCATAAACTTTTTTTAATGCTAACTGTGCGAAAATAAGTGCCCCATTTAGCAGAAAATACGTACTTTACTAAGTTCCTTGAGGCTCATGTTTTCATATGGGGTAGAGAACCAGTACTGAATACTATTTCTATCCTAGAGAGCAGCTCTTAATACTCTTTAGGCTACCTGTCTCTTTGAGAAATTGTCAAAAGTTAAGGATCCTTCACCCAGAAAGTCTCCAGGTACATAATTTTGCATATTTTGCAGTTTTAGGGTTTTGTTCTTAAAGCCAGCCATGGATCCCAAATTAAGCACCACTGATTAAAGACAGTATAAATGGAAAATACTGTCTCTGTTATACGTACACGTAATTCATGAATGGCTGCGTTGTTGGATTTGAATGTAGATCCTGCCATTTCATTCTTATTGTTACTGAGAATTTCTTCCCTTTCCTCATTCCCGTAATCCATTGTAAGGCCATGGAAGTGACCTAATCTTCTTTCTCCCACATCAGTATTCCAGATCAGCCCCTTGGCCTTGATCTTATATTGGTTTATGGGTTGCTCTGCGATGACTGTTTTGGGGCAGGTAACAAGGGGGATAGAGGAGGAGAGGGAGAGAAAGAGTAAACAAAGGGAGCTCTATCCAGTCTCCATGCCTTATTTCCCCTTACAGCACAAATTGTGCCTAAGTCTAGTTATGAAAGTGGAAGAGAGGGGAAGGCAAGAAGAGAAAAGCTCTTCCTACGTTGTGAACTACTTTGGTTGAATTATTCATAACTTTATCTGAAATGAGGTAGACATCTTGGACAAATTGTTACTCTGATCATCTGTCATACCTTAACAAAGCATTTGAGAGTTGAACAAAAAGATATTCCAACATCAGTAAGACTCCAGCTGCCCTTTAGGGCTGCTCCAGCATACATCAGCTCCAGACACCTCCTGCCTTGTTCATCTTCAGAGAGAGGAATGTGGAAATAATCCTTAAAAATCAATAGCATGTTATGAAAACAGCATATCTCTACATTACTAGACCAGCAATGTAATCTCTTATCTTTTACATTTTCCACTGAGTATTATAAAATTGGGACAGAAGGAGGAAGTATTAGACAGGGGTTCTTAATCTGAAGTCTTTAGACATCCCCAAAAATTGATGGTTAGAACTTAGGTGGCAAAAAACTACATTTGTTTTTTATTAACTTCAAATAAAATTGGGATTTTTCTTATGTATATAGACAACAAGCTAAAGTAGCAGTAATTGACTGTTCCTGTGACTTTGTCACCAACAGAAATCACAGATATTTTCATATCCCATCATTGTTGTTGCAGATACAAAATATTATTTATACTGATCTCCTTTGAAATTGTAATAGTTATGAGATACACTGCAAACACTTGTTAATGTGTTAATAAGGAAACCCACAGGTCACAATATCACAATTTGTTTTTTAAATTGTATTTCAGTATAACTGGTTTTCTTTTTGGGGGTATGTATTTTATTTTATGCATTTAAAGACATTCTGAGAAGGAGTCCATAGGCTTCACCAGACTGCCAAAGGGATCCATGATACATAAAGATTAAGAGATTCTGTGTTAGAAGATCTAGATTTTAGGGATCATAGTAATTTACTATATATCATGTAACTATGATTCAGTAAATGCTCCTTAGTAAATGGGAATAAATCATCTCCAAGTTAAATACCATTTGATGGTCAGTTCCTAAATATTTGTCTTAATTTTCCATTTTATAGTGAGTATTTATAAGAAATTTGTAAGAAAAGTACTGCACCCAAATTATTTTTTATTCTGGCTCTGTGATCCTAGGTTAAATGGTCAATCTATCTGAGCTTCAGTTTTCCTTGGAGGCAAAATGAGGCTGTAGCCCAGAAGTCCTCTCCACCTCCAAAATCCTTTGGTTCTTTATAGTTCCTTGCTCACCACACAGGCCATCTATCTGACAACTGTATGCTCCACTTACCTGGCCTAGAGTTAGTGTCTTGTTTTTCTCCTTTTGTGAAGAATTTCAGTAATACTATCTGGCCAATACACAATCTACAAATATCATAAAGATAAGCTAAACACATTTTCCCCTGAGAATTTTCCTGTCTAACAAACACCTCCAGAGTTAATATCTTCTAACAAATGATTATGTAAGCAAACAATGATATTTTCAAATAGTTTTAGTCCCGTTTGCTGAAAATGCACCCAATAGTATCTCTACCCCAGTACAGTTTAAACTTCACTGCATAGTTAAAATTAATGCACATCTTAGTGGCTCAGGGACAAAGTATGTACCTTTATCATCAGCTTGACAGCCTCCACAGTTTCATCTGCTGAAATATCAAATGGTTCAAAAGATCCCTCAAAAGCCATGAAAATCCTCATTTTGTCAAAAAAAGAAAGAAAGAAGCTGTTTTCAAAGATCCTATTGGATAGCTGGGAGAATCCAGTTCACAGTTAAGGACAAAAATGATGGCCAGAGGCAGCTGTCACTGTCTAGCCTCAAAGGCGAGTTGAGAGAACGTGGAGAGAGAAGTCCCGCAGTACCACAGTATCCGGTGAAGCTGACAGCAGCTACATTGGAGGAAATGTTTCTCTGCCAGTGGCATTAGTCAACAGCCACCTGTTGCTTTATTATGGAAACCAGAAAACTTGACAATGGTTGAGGCAAGTGTGAACCAGCGTCAAGCATGTAATACAAAACTGCCACACATAAATTATACTTTGTAATGTGACCACCATCCATTGATACTTGAATGCATATTCATCCAAGTACAGCTGATGGAAGGACCCTTAGAACTAGATATTTGAATTGGGATGCACTGGCACAGAGTGAAGCAAAACAGAGTTGATTTTATTGAATGCAATCATCCTGGAAGTTCTCTGTAAATAACTCTGAGCTGAAGCATTCTGGTTTCCATAGCAACTTTGTGTACTTGTTCCCTGGCGGTATTTCTAATCCTGCCACGGGGTACAGAACAATATCCACTTGCACTAGGGAGGGGAATGTGTAGGCAAATGACTCTGTGGTTTTCCCTTCCCATCTCTGCATAATGGAATCTACCCAATAACAACACAGTATAGTTGGTATTTCTTTTAGTCCTTGCCCTTATGTTATTTAGAACAATTTACCATTGTTATTTCCTTCAACTTCCCTTAGTGTTGGTGGAAAATATTTCAAACCACCCTCAAAAAATGAGCAAAGATATTAATCACCATTACGCAAGCTTATATTTTACTGGAACTTAATTCTAAGACTCTCCTCTGAAATCCCCAGTATTATACACTTGTTCTAATGCTATCATGTCTGATCATTTTTTAAAATTAATTTATTTTTGGCCGCATTGGGTCTTCATTGCTGTGTGCGGGCTTTCTCTAGTTGTGGCGAGCGGGGGCTACTCTTTTTTGTGGTGCGTGAGTTTCTCATTGCGGTGGCTTCTCTTGTTGCGGAGCACGGGCTCTAGGCGCGCGGGCTTCAGTAGTTGTGACATGCGGGCTTCAGTAGTTGTGGTGCATGGGCTTAGTTGCTCTGCAGCATGTGGGATCTTCCTGGACCAGGGCTCGAACTCATGTCCGGGAAGATTGGCAGGCGGATTCTTAACCACTGCACCACCAGGGAAGCCCTGATCATTTTTTTAGTGTTTGTAAATCTTGTCTTCTTCCTGAAGATAGACCTAGGACAGAATCCCTATCTCTCATTTCTTATTCTTAACAGCACTTAGCATAATGTGAGCCACATGATAGGTGCTTAGTAAATGTTAACCTGTTAACTGATTCTATTCATTCACAGTCTGAGTTCCAACTATAAGAAACTTGAGAAAATGGAAAACATAAAAAAGGCAAAGGATTTCACTGCAAAGCTAATACTTTTGGCTTCATGTTTTTCAAGTGTTGCAACACAATGATACCTTCTTATGCTGTCAGCATTTTGATAGAAAGAGTATTACCATAGGACATAGTTAATGCTGTTTTGGTGTCTTGCTCACCCTCCTTCACCCCCTCCAGCTGCCTTTACTGTTGACTGCTAAAGACTTATAGCTACACCCCCTTTTACAAAGAATTGCCCTCAGCTGATGGGAGCTGCCTTGCCAGGAAAGCTATGCACCCCTCCTCAATAATTGACTGCAAAGGGGCTGTAAAATGCCCACTCTCATATTAAGGGGTGAAAATTCTTCAGAGGATCTCTGTAGAGCAGGCCATAGCTGGACTTTACCTGAGACTACATCCTTCTTCAGCTCTTTCTTTTCCTGAATCCTGCTTAACTCTCTTCCTTACTAAGTTTTTCTTGAAGAGTGCTCCCTCAGTAATTGGCATACATCCCAATCCCTGTCTCAGGCTCCGATTTTAGAGAAACCAGCCTAGGGCAGAGGATTTTTTTTTTTTTTTTTTGCGGGACGCGGGCTTCTCACTGCTGTGGCCTCTCCCGTTGCGGAGCACAGGCTCCGGACGCGCAGGCTCAGCGGCCATGGCTCACGGGCCCAGTTGCTCCGCGGCATGTGGGATCCTCGTGGACGGGGCACGAACCCGCGTCCCCTGCATCGGCAGGCGGACTCTCAACCACTGCGCCACCAGGGAAGCCCCTAGGGCAGAGGATTTTAAAGAAGCTCATAGGCATTAAGAAATCACAACCAAATGCTTTATAGCTTCCTGAGCTGCATGTTTTCTTATACATGTATATTTTTATATTCTGCAGTAGACTTGGCTTTTGGAGTAAATGCCCGTCTCTTGTAGGCATGGCAGGCCCCTGGTCTGGTTGGTTGCCGGGTCCTGACGTGTATGGAGCTGCCGGCTACTGGGTGGTGGGCTGAGTCCTGAGGTGGCTGGCTGCAGAGCCCCAGGGGGGTCCCAGGGCTAGTGCTATCCCACTGGTGGGTGGAACCTGGTTCTGGAGTAACTGGTTGCGGGGCCAGGGTTCCTGGATCTAGTGTCGGCATGCTGGTGGGTGGGGTCAGTTCCTGAAATGGTTGCCTGTGGGTTCTGGGATGTCCTATAGCTGGTCTGGCTCACTGGTGAGTGGGGCTAGATCGCAGGGCAGCTGGTTGAGGGGTCCAAGCTGTCTTGGAGCTGGTGTTAACCTGCTGGTGAACAGAGCTGAGGCCCAGGGGTTTCTGGGGCTAATGCCCACTGTTGTGTGATGCTGGTCCTGGGGCTGATGCTGGCCCTCTGGTAGGTGGAGCCAAGTCCTGTGGTCTCTGGCTGTAGGGACCTTGGGGTCCCGGGGTTAGTCCCGGTGCACTTGTGTGTGGGTTTGGGTCCTGAGCCCTCTGATGGACAAGGTGTGTCCCAGGGTGGCTGGGTACTCAAGGGTTCCTTAAGGCAGCCTGCCTACTGGTGGGTGGGGCTTTGTTCCTGCTAAGCTAGCTGTGTGGCCTGAGGCGTCCCAGTACTGGTGCTCACAGGCTGGTGCGTGGGGCTGGGTCCCAGTTTTGGTAAGCTAGAGGGAGGATTCCAGAATGGCACTTGCCAGCACCAGTGTCCTCCTGGCCAAACGGAGTGCCCCAGAACGGCTGCCACCAGGGGTAGCTCCAGTTGCCTGCTGCCTCTCTGGGAGACTCTACAGGATCAGCAGGTGGGTCTGGCCCAACCTCCTTTCAAATTACTGCTTCTGCTCTGGGTCTTGGACTGTGTGAGATTCTGTGTGTGCCCTTTAAGAGTGGAGTCTCTATTTCTCACAGCCCTCTGGCTCTCCTGAAAGTAAGCCTCACTGCCTTCAAAGCCAAACATTTTGGGGGCTTGTCTTCTCAGTGCAGGATCCCCGGGCTGGGGAACCTGATGTGGGACTCGAACCCCTTGCTCCCTGGAGAGAACCTCTGCAATTGTAATAATCTTCCCATTTGTCGGTCGCCCACCCAGGGGTATGGGTCTTGACTATATCACATCTCTAGCCTTCCTACCCATCTCCTTGTGGTTCCTTCTTCGTATCTTTAGTTGTAGAAGATCTTTTGTGCTAGATTCTGGTCTTTCTCATCAATAGTTGCTCTGTAAATAGTTCTAGTTTTGGTGTGCCCATGAGAGGAGGTGAGCTCAGGGTCTTCCTACTCTACCATCTTGGCCATCTAGCCAAAACGTTCTGACATGAGAATTAAAAGTTGAAAAGGGTAAGTAAAATTATCCCTATCATAGGAGACATAATTGTAAACCAATAAATCATGGCAATCAAAATTTTAAGACTACTACAAATAATGAAATAATTCAACTAGGTGGCTGTATTTATAATTAATACACAGAAATGAATAGTTTTCTAGAAACAAATGACTGATATAGAATATAATGGAAGAAAATACTCCATTTATAAAAGAGAAAAAAGATAATATGTTAGGAGTAAACTTAGCAGGAAACATGTAAGAAATGTATAAAATAAATGTAAAAACATAACCAAAAAACATAAAAGACTTGAACAAGTGGGCTGGCATACCATAACTTTGGAAGGAAGGTTCAAAACGATTAAGTCATCAATTCTTCTTAAGTCAATATAAAAGTAACTTCCTAAGTTAGTATATAAATTTAATATATAAATTAGAAAATCCCAACAGGATCTTTTTCCAGCTTTATTGAGGTATAATTGACATATACACTGTGTAAGTTTAAGGTGTACAATGTGATGATATATGTATACATTGTGAGATGGTTACCACAATAAGATTAGTTAACACATCCATCACCTCACACAGTTACCTTTTTTTTGGAAGTGAGAACATTTAAGATCTACTTTGGGCTTCCCCGGTGGCTCAGTGGTTGAGAGTCTGCCTGCCGATACAGGAGACATGGGTTCGTGCCCCGGTCCGGGAAGATCCCACATGCCGTGGAGCGGCTAGGCCCGTGAGCCATGGCCACTGAGCCTGCGCGTCCGGAGCCTGTGCTCCGCAATGGGAGAGGCCAAAACAGTGAGAGGCCCGCGTACCGCAAAAAAAAAAAAAAAAATCTACTTTTAGCAACTTTCAATTATACAGTACAGAATTGTTAACCAACAGGATTTTTCCAAACTAGGCAAGATGTTCTAAAATCAATGTAGAAAAATATAGCTAGAAAAGCTCTGGAAGAGTAGTGAAAAGCACTCACCTACAAGATGTTAAAATATATTATAATGCTACAATAAGATTAAAACAGTGTGATCCTGGCATATGAAGAGTCAGAAAAATCAATGGAAAAATAGAAAGCATAAAAATGGACTCACAAGAGTTTAGTATATGACAAAAGTAGCATCTGGCAAATTAAGAGATACAAACTTCCAGTTTGAGTCACAAGAATGAAATGTACAGCATGGGAAATATAGTCAGTAATAGTGTAATATCTTTGTATAGTGACAGATGGTAACTAGACTCATCATGGTGATCATTTTGAAACGTATAGAAGTATTGAATCACTATGTTGTGCACCAGGAACTAATATAGTCGTTGTAGGTCAATTAATTATACTTCAGAAAACGAATAACAAACTCATAGAAAAAGAGATCAGATTTTTAAAATTTAAGTACAGTTGATTTACAATGTTGTGTTAGTTTCAGGTGTACAGCAAAGTGATTCAGTTCTATATGTATATATATATGTGTGTGTGTGTGTTTATATATATACATATATACATATATACACATATATGTATATATATAAACACACACACATATATATATATATACATATATATGTATTCTTTTTCAGATTCTTTTCCCTTATAGGGTATTACTAAATATTGAGTATAGTTGCCTGTGCTATACAATAGATCCTTGTTGGTTATCTATTATATATACAGTAGTGTATGTATGTTAATCCCAAACTCCTAATTTATCCCTCCCCCTCTACCTTTCCCCTTTGGTAACCATAAGTTTCTTTTCTAT